TAAGTAAGTTCAATAAAGACCAATCACGGAGGAATTGTTACTTTTATAACTAGGAGTTACATAAAAGAAATTATTTCTGCCCTATGGTAAAACCTATATTTTTCGGAAAAAAATACGATTTCTCACCCCGATTCTTCAAAAAATGACTTCAAACACCGATTTCAAGCTTTGCAAATTCTCTTGATACTTTGAACAATAATCATGTGAGCTTAAGAAAATTAAACAATAGCTGGTTTGCACACAGTGGTTTATGTGAAAAGACAAATAAATCATCATTGGTGTTGTTTCTTAACTGTACGGTTGCTTGCTAACTCGTAGTACGGTTGCTTGGGAGAATAAATAAAAACTGTGTACGGTTGCCTGAGATCCAACTATTTTATAGTTTCCTGATGTTTTAATTGTTTTAGCTATTGTTAATTGATTTAAGATCTAAAATTACACATTAACGGGTTTTTACATGTCAATGTTTTGGAAATGGGAAAATACACCAGCATTGTACAGCTCATTGATGTTATGATTTGCATTATTCACATTTGTTTATGGAATGTCTTATTTGCATGAAATTAAAGTGTGTGTTTTGTTTGTTTGTTGTTTGTTTTTGTTGTGTGTGTTTTTAACCAGGTTTTCCTAAGTGAAAACTGGTTATTAGATTGAGGTTTGTCGGCGGGCGGGCGTAAACAATTTCTTCTGTGCGCATTTCTCAAGGGATTTTGACCAAAATTTTACAAAAGCTTTGTCATCAAGTGCCCTGGCGCATATTGTCAGGGTTTTGTGATTAGATAATATTTGGTCTAATTATGGTCCTTTTTCCCCCACATAATGCAATGTATAATGAAATATCATTTTATTCACAACTACTGTACAACATGTAGCAAAACTTTATATAGTTAATGAACAAAAACCATCTAGTTTGATGCACGCCTGCCAGCCATCTGCTGTAAAGTCAATGTCAATATCACTGTTACTAAAAATAAAAATATGTTTTCAGTTTAAATGAAATATTTCAATGCAATGTGGTCTATAGTAAGCTTAATGAAGACCTCGCTTATTATTGTAATGGCCCACTAACATCAAGGTCACTTACTAAAAATAGGTTTGAAAAGTAATATTTCAGTGAGACTTGGCGAATAGTAACATTTTGTGAAGATCTCCTTGGGATTGCTTTTGGGTCTCACAGGATTAAGGTCAAGGTTATTGTTACTAAAAATGGAAAATCGATTTCTGGTCAATAAGAAGTGTTTTAATGAAATATGCTTTAAATTAAGCTTATGTGAATACCTTACTTAAGATAGCTTTAGGCTCCCTTAACCCATTACCGCATGAGCATTTTGTGAAAAATGGCTGTTTTCATTGGAAAGTCTCCCGTTACAAGTTCAAGTTGCTATAAAACTATAAAAACTGCTTCAATACTAATCAAACTTGGCACAAATGTTGACTGGACCATTGCCTTTGTAACAACATGCTCAGTCTTAAATTTCCTGTTACCATGGCAACTAGGGGACATCTCAAAATTGCCAAAATCACTATTTTGCGTTGATTTTGTCCATCAAAATTGATTTCAAAGTGCTGCCACTTCTCAATGAATTGAGATAGAGTCAAAGGTTTTTCAGCGTTGGTTGTAGTTACCTTATGATCGACCTGGGGTCATTTTAGCCTCTCGCAAGTCCAAAACTTTTCACCATTTGAGAAAGCAAAAAGTGGGGGGGGGGGCGTATATATCTGGTAATGGGTTATAAGGGTCAACCTTACTGTTACTAAAAAAAGGGAAATCGTTTTCCAGTTAAGAATGAGATATTTTTATTATCCCCTTATGACCAAGGTCAAGATAATTTAAATTTTTCCAGCAGCTGTTATTACAAAATACTTATTTACTCTTTAAATAATTGAAAACCTGGCATTGCCATGTTTCTTGTGTGTGTTTTTTTTTACTGCTCTCAAAGTTTTTTTTACTGCTCTCAATGTTAACATTATGTGCTTTAAAACACGTCGTTTGTGTATGAAAACCATTGTCAAGTGGTTAAATAGTCGGATTTTGTTTTGAACGATTATCTGTGTATTCTGTTTCCTTTTTGGTGAAATATATGATACGTCATTAATTAGTATTCTAAAGCGTAGGTAAATGTAACATTTATTAAATAAATATGAAGTTGTGTCTCTTTAAATTTAAATGTTGTCACAATGACTGTGTGTGATTTTGTCATAAATTATAAAATAAAAAAAATAATCGATTGAGTTATGTCTCTTCAAGGTACACACCGTAACAGTGGCTGACTGATGCACTTCTAATCCAAATTAATAGCTTGGTTATACATAAAACTGCACGAAAACAACATTTATGTACTTGCCAACATTATGCCAACAATAAAATATAAGATAATTTCTTAAACATTAGTTTAAACATATTTATTCGATATATTTACATTATGATGAACAATATTTACACAATACATTTGGGATTGGGCAGAAAACTATGAAAGCTTATGAGTGTCCTGTCTCAGTTTAAACAATTAACATAATTATATACAGTTCATGGCATTATCATGCACAAAATTCATTTAGTTGAAAATATATCAAAGACATTTTCAAAAAATATGTATTTTACAATTAATAAATACTAAACCAAATGGTCACGAGAAAAAAATGCAAAAGAAAAATGAAACAAAATGAAGGTGAAAAAATCAAATTATTATATGACAGAGATTAATTTAGTTAGAAGTCGCCGTTTAATTTTCACTTAGGAATGTGCAATCGAACAGACAACAACTACTGTGTTTTAACGGAGGCAAAAGAATGTAATAAGAATCTTAATTGATAGTTATAAAGTACAATTATGCAATTACGAAAAAAAACTACCAGCTAATATTGACAAAAAAAATGAGAAAGAAAAGGAGAGGTGGATGAACAATAGAGCAGTAGGAGTAAACAAAGATGCATTATACAGTAACTATGGTAACTATGTATGTTCAGATGTAACAAGTGTAAGTAAGACTTGGGGTACGCGCTAAAAGCGCTTCGTTTCTCGGATGTATTTTTGAACAGCTGTAAAGATAGATACATTAATCTCGTAAGATAAAGAATTGTTTCCAGTAAGAATGCCATTTATAGAAGGATTACAAAATTGTGAAATAGCCGTTATTTATTAGTTCTGGTCGAAGGTTAGTATATTTAGGGCATTCCAAGAAGTAGTGATAAGCATTTTCTCTCGCACCACATTCCAGAATGGAGGTTCGATAATGTTCTTTTCAAATAGATCGGCAGAAAGCGAACTGCAGTGAGTGCGTAATCTTGTGTGAAAAAATTGAAGTTTGCGATCACCAGAAAGAAAATAAGCAGGCACACTTGGCAAATCATTATTAAGAAGGCGCTTAAAAGACGCTAAGGTTGAGGCATTTTGCGTTGGAGATGGAAGAGAATTAAAATCTCTGATAACAGAAGGCAAGAATGATTTATAGTAATAATCTGTATTTGTGTGAATATTATGTGTGTCGTTTGAGTTCCGGAGTGGGTACCGATGCTCACTACCAACAGACGAAGGGACAAGGTCAGAGAGGTATTGAGTGTGGCTGCGGCAAGACGACAACGATATGCGCCATTTGTAGCACATTGCGAATGTCCGTGTTAAAAAGGACAAATAATTTTTGCGTTTATTGCGTATCATTGCAAGCCCAAAGAGTTTGACGGAACATTTAGGAACATTTAGGAATAATCAACCAGTATATGAGAATAAAATATATACAATTTCAAAACTTTCTCAGTTGGTCCATCTCAGTTCCAGTACTTCTCTTGGGCTGCTACTACAGTCAAACTCTGAGGAAAAGATCAATGATTTACCTGATCAATGAGTAACAGCAAATTGCGAAAGAGTCTTGAGAAATTCCAAGTACAAGACTGTTCTTTAAAACGTAAACCAGTCCATAAGTGACAGTAAAGGACGGTACTTGAAAGCTGTTACGGGCAACAGTACAGTTAGTAAAATTGAATGTTTCTGTAGGAGTGGTGCGACCTCGGTTGACACATACAGTTGGCTTCATACGCACCTCAAGGACTTGGTTACCAAGCACAAAGAAATAAGTCTGTACGTTTGGATTGGTACCTGTGACTTCACATCGAAAGAGAAAAGGTACATTTCTTTGCAAAAATCTGACAGATTAGAACTCTCTAAATCTCAGCTGTTGAAAATCAAAGACTTATGTTCAAGTTGTAAAGTCAAACTTACTTTTCTACACATACCTTACTATTCGATCCAGTTGTGGAACAAATCTAAAGGCCATCCAAATCCTGAACACTTCAAATCTGATGATGAAAAGCTAAATAAATACATAGACGAGGCAAACAAGTTCATTGATGATCTGAATACTGATGTTGGTTCACATTCACCAAGGTTAAACCAGGACTTGGTACGTAGTAGAAAGAAGAAAGGTCACAAGGCTCGTTACTCCATCAACTTCAGCTTGTTTAAAGATGGAATTCATCCAGGATATACATTGTCGCAGACTTGGCTTGCTAATATCTGCAAGACGATAATTACTGACTGTGCATAAACATTTGCGTAGGCCGAGATTGCTCTGCCACGCACTCCTATTTGAACATTTGCTATTTGCGTAGGTCGGGATTGCCCTGCCACGTAAAAGATAAACAATAGCAAAGAATTGTTGGTGTGTCAAATATCTCGTTTGGTTTTTGTCGTTAGCATATGTTGATTGTGAGGCTATTTAAAGCATATATAAGTGTAATTCAATTTTATCCACAAATTCTAACATTTAAAATTTTTATTCTTTTAATTGAAAGCTAAAGGTGAATTTTACTTTGTTTTTCTACATTCACTTTTAGTAGTTTTAATATCTAACATAAACTTAAAGGTCATTATATTGTATTATTTAGTTTTAAGGTTTAACTTTAATAATAACGGAACAAGTTTGCGTATCAAGTTTTAAGTTGTTTAAAAGGTCATTTCTCTAAATAATTATTGTCTAGTCTTCTTTTACAAGTATTTTTTCAGAATGTCAGAGCAAGAGGGTAAAAACTCAGACATTTCTCTGCCTCAAGGTAACAGTGACACTGGAGAAGAGTTAGAAATTGAAGCTCGCACTCGGAAGCTAACAAGCAAAGGTCGTGAGTATCAAATTGATCTTAAAGAAAAGGGTTTTAGGTCTTGTCTGTCTGCCTGGCGGGCACACACAAATAAGTTGCATGTACTTTTGTCTGATTCTGACAACATGCAAACATTGAGAACTCATAGAGACATTCTTCAAGCCTCTTTTGATGAATTGTCTAGTGTATTTCTTGAATTGCAAGATTTAAAGGAAGATGTTTCTGAAGAAATATCAAAGTTTGAAACCACTGAGATAAATCATCAGCAGCTTATGCAATCTATTGCAGAGCGTATCAGGGAAATCGAGAATCAGCAACTTGAAGGTAGGTCGAATAGATCTTCTCATAGTAATAGGTCTCGTTTATCTAGGAGATCCAATGTTTCTCATGTGTCTGATACAGTTATTCGTAAGGCTAAATTGAAAGCTGAACTCAGGTAAATAGATGCTGAATTAAGGTGTAAGGCAGAACTTGAAAAAATTAAAATTGATAAAAGGAAAGAAGTTGCTACTGCAGAATTACGTTAGAAGAAATATATTGTAATTCAGACAAAATTGATCCTTGGTTGAAGGATTTAGCACCCGAAGTAGTAAAAAAAGAATATGTAAATGATTTTGTTGAGAGACATAGCTCTACTATTTTAGAGAGCAAAACTTCAGCGGTTAATCCTGTTGTCATTGCTATGCCATCTTTCACAGTGCCAAATAATACTTCTAGTCAACTTACTGGTACAGATGGTCTTACTGTAAATCACTTTATATTCGCGTGATCTTTATTTCGCGAAAAACCCACCCCTGACTATTTCGCGTATTCATGAATTCGCGATGGCAGGGTCAGAAATTTATATTCGCGATTATTTGGATTTCATTTTCGCAATATAACAGGGTAGGTTGAAGTTAATTCCTATACTGTGTCGCTCTTATGCATGGTAAATGTTAATGGTGTTGATAAGAGACGGATCTTATTTATTTATTTTATATGCAAAATTTAACAACATACATCTAATTGACTTATTATGAACGGTTTTTTTAATCATTTGTCAAAATTGATTTTTGTTTGCAAATACGGTGTTTGATAAAACGTTAAATGTTTGTAAGAAGGTGTAATATACTTGTTTATAATACTTTATCTACCGTATGAAAATTTCCGTTGATCACTGTTTTACCGTAAATCTATTGTCATCTAAACAATATGTGTTCACATTTGTCTGTAAAGTGCAAAATTTGTTGATATTGTCTCTTTTTGTGTTTTACATGCAAGCATTCATTAGGAAAAAGGAAATCCAATGGGAAAAATCTTGAACCTTCAAATCGTTACTATGATGTAAATAAAACTTTGCACATATGAATTATTTGCATTCAGTTATTGTATTTATTATAAAAACTTGATCATAATTCGAAAAAAGTTGTCATCAGATTTATTTTTTATAATGAATGTTATGTTATAAAATTTACGCGGTATCATGAATTCGCGACGCGGCCGATTCGCGAATAATAGCGAAAATTAAAACATCGCGAAAAATACCGGATTTACAGTACTCAAACATATCTAAACCCTTCAGTTACCCCTTTTGTCCCTAATGTGAATGTAGTATCAAACCCTTCTGTTGGTATTCAAACCAGTACACCTGCCACTAATAATGACCCTGACCACTCAAATGAGAAAGAAATTGCAAATTTAGCAAAGGTGCTTGCTGACCAGGTAAGTCTTAGTAGACTACCACCACCTGAACCTACCATTTTTTATGGTGATCCTATCCAGTTTCCTGCATGGAAAGCAGCATTTAATGCATTGATAGATAAAAGAAATCTTCCAGATGGTGAAAAAATTCATTACTTAAAGAAATATCTAGGAGGCCCAGTAAGATAAGTAGTAGAAAACTATTTTCTGTTATCTACTGAAGATGCATATGATGATGCAAGGAAATTGCTCAATGAGAGATATGGTGATCCCTTTGTAATTGCTTCTGCGTTCCGTGATAAACTCGAATCTTGGCCAAAAATTATGCCTAAAGATGCCTCTGGGCTGCTTAAATTTTCAGATTTCATGAAACAGTGCCTCACAGCAATGAACAGTGTTCCAAGTCTTAGTGTGTTGAATGATTGCCGTGAAAATCGAAAACTGTTGTCCAAGCTTCCAGATTGGTTGATTGGTAGATGGAATAGAATTGCTGCCACAATTCAGGAAGAACACAAGGTATTCCCATCCTTTAAAGAATTTGTTAATTTTGTTTCAAAAGAAGCAAGGATAGCTTCTGATCCTGTGACATCTGTCTTTTCTGTGAAGGGTAATCTCAGTTCACCCTGTGACAGGGGTATGAAACTTTCATCTAAAGAGAACAAGTCTCAAGGTCGTTCATATCTGTCACACACACAAGATACAAATCGTAGTTCAAGTTCATTTCCAAACATTTCTTGTCCGTTATGTCAAGGGCCACACAATATTGATGTCTGTGCTTCATTTCTTAAGAAATCTGTTGTAGACAGAAAAACTTTTATAAAGGAGAAAAGGCTTTGTTTTGGCTGTTTGCGAAGTGGTCATGTATCAAAAATGTGTAGAAAGCGAAAAACTTGTAACGTCTGTTCGAAAAGTCACCCCACTTCATTACATGGTGATGTAAAACGGAAAGATTCCCAAAGGGAAAGTGCGTCAGAATCTACCAAGTCTTCTGACAAAGTTGACACAGATAAGAGTGCACCTAAACCAATAAGTTATTCTGGTGCTGCATTTTTGAGTAATGTCTGTCAGTCTAGTAAATGCTCTATGATTCTTCCTGTGTTCATATCTCATTGTGATAATCCTGAAAAGGAATTGCTTGTTTATGCCTTATTAGATACTCAGTCAGACACCACATTTATGTTGGACAGTACACGTGAGGCGTTAGGTCTTTCCGGTGTTGATGTCAAGTTGTCTTTGTCGACCTTACATGCTGAAAATAAAACAGTCAGTAGTAAAAGAGTTAAAGGCCTACAGGTAAGAGGTTATGATAATCAGATACGAATCTCTCTGCCTATCGCCTACACAAGGGAAATTATGCCAGCCAATCGTTCCCATATCCCAACACCCGAGCATGCAAGGTGTCTAAGTTTAGAATGCATATCAGACAAATTAGTGCCATTAATGGAGGCTGACATTGGATTGTTAATAGGTTATAATTGTCCTCAAGCCTTAGTTCCTAGAGAGGTTATAACACCAGATGGTAATGGTCCTTATGCTCAAAAGACTGATTTGGGATGGACTATAGTTGGAACTATAGATTCTGATTGTGTTGAAAATGATAGTATTGGGCTAAGTCATCATGTTCTCTGTCATGAAGTTCCTTCAGCTCTATCAGTGAGTGATAATCACAAAAACACGGTCATGTTTTCTCTGCGTACTAAAGTCAAGGAAGTTGTATCTAGTGATATTTTGCGTGTCCTTGAACATGATTTTTGTGATTTAGGAATAACTGGCGATAAGCTTTCTCAGGAAGATAAACTCTTCTTATCTAAGCTGTCTGAAAACATCTGCTTTCAAAATGGTCATTACGAAATGCCACTTCCTTTCAAGGGTAAGGATCCTGTACTTCCAAATAATAAATCTATGGCCTTAAAAAGGTTAAATTCTCTGCGGCATAGATTAGAAAGAAATACAACATTACGTGATCATTATTTCAACTTTATGAGAGATCTTATTAGCAATGGTTTTGCGGAAAGGGTCCCAGATTCAACTGATAATGCCAGTGCTTGTACATGGTTTATTCCACACCATGGGGTCTATCACCCTCAAAAACTGGATAAAATTCGTGTTGTATTTGATTGTAGTGCGGTATTTGAAGGTCACAGTCTTAACATGCATCTTCTCCAAGGTCCTGATTTAACTAATAAGCAAGTAGGAGTTCTTTGTAGGTTTAGAAAGGAGCCTATTGCGTTGATGTGTGATGTTGAGAAAATGTTTCATCAGTTCAAGGTTTGTGAGACTCATAGAGATTATCTTAGATTTCTTTGGTGGGAAGATGAAAATCTTGAAAAGAATCCCTCAGAATTTAGAATGACGGTACATTTGTTTGGAGCAACATCATCCCCTGGTTGTGCGAACTTTGGAATGAAAAGAATGGCTTCTGATAATGAAGAACAGTTTGGTTTTGAAGTTTTAAAGCACTTTTTCTGGACAGATAGTGAGGTAGTTCTTGGATATATTTGTAATGAGGCAAGGCGATTTCATGTATTCGTTGCTAATCGGGTTCAGCAAATAAAGGAACATACTAGCCCAGACCAGTGGAAATATGTCACTTCTGGTGAAAACCCAGCTGACATAGCCTCTAGAGGCGTATCTGTTGTAGATTTATCTAAAAATCCAATGTGGTTCCATGGGCCAGAATTTCTTTGGAAACCAGAAGTAGCTGCTGTAAACACACAATTTTCAGTGTGTCCTGATGATCCAGAATTGAAATCTGTTAAAAATTTGCTAGTTAGTGCAGTGATACCTATGTATAGTTCTTTGTTGGAACGGATTCAATATTTCTCTGACTGGTATAGGTGTAAGAGAGCAGTAGCATTAGCACTCCGGTATAAGACTAAGTTGATGCAAAAGATTGGGTTGCAAAACACTTCTGTTAAGACATTTTCAGCAATGAATGGTGCTCTTACTGTTGAAGAATTGCGAGTAGCAGAAATTGAAATCTTTAAGGTTGTGCAGTATGGTAATTTCAAAGAAGAGTTTGATACTTTAAAAACTCATTCTATGGTTGGAATTCCTTCTGATAGAGCAGAAAAATCATTGCGAACTAAATCTCTTAAAGGAAAGTCTTCCCTTTGCAAATTAGATCCATTTCTTGATAGTGATGGTTTGATTCGCGTAGGTGGTCGTGTTCAACACTCTGAAATGTCAGAGTTGATTAAATTCCCAGTTGTACTCCCTAGAAAAGGTCATATTACAGAACTTGTAATACGGTATTACCATGACAAAGTGCAACATCAAGGTCGAGGAATGACTACGAATATACTCAGAGCTAATGGACTATGGATTTTAGGTTGTAGTTCTGCAGTTACTTGCGTAATTTCTAAATGTGTTCTTTGCAGAAAGCTCCGTGGTATGGTCCAAGGGCAGAAAATGGCTGACTTACCTCCTGATCGATTAGAACCTGCTCCTCCGTTCACATTTTGCGCTGTAGATTATTTTGGTCCCTTCTACATTAAAGAAGGTAGAAAGGAATTGAAACGGTATGGGGTTTTGTTTACATGTTTAGCATGTAGGGCGGTTCATGTTGAAACAGCCACCTCCTTGGAAACAGACTCATTTATAAATTGTTTGCGAAGGTTTATTGCGATTAGGGGTTCAATCCGTCAACTTCGATCTGATAGAGGTACTAATTTTATAGGTGCGGAAAATGAATTGATGGCTGCGCTTGCTGAACTAGATAACAACAAGGTTAAGGATTTTCTTTTGCAGGAGAACTGTGATTGGTTTGAGTGGAAAATGAATGTCCCTGCTGCTAGCCATATGGGCGGCGTATGGGAGCGCCAAATTAGGTCTATTAGAAATGTGATGACTACTTTGTTACATACTCATGGTAATCAGTTAGATGACGATAGTTTAAGAACTTTCTTTTACGAAGCTGCATCTATTGTTAACAGTAGACCGCTGACTGTCACTGATGTAAATGACCCACTCTCTGTAACACCTCTCACACCTAACCATTTACTTACCATGAAAACTAGCATTATTCTTCCGCCACCAGGTAACTTCCAGAAGAATGATGTGTACTGCAGACGACGTTGGCGTAGAACTCAGTACTTACTAAATGAGTTTTGGTCACGCTGGCGCAATGAGTATTTCCAAAACTTACAGGTACGTAACAAATGGACATCTGTAAAGCGTAACATGTCAGTAGGCGATATTGTCCTAATAAAGGATGATAATTCAGCTAGGAGTGATTGGAGACTCGGTCGAGTACATGAGGTATTGAAAGAACCTGATGGTCTAGTACGCAAGGTAAGAATTGCTATAGGTACACCTAGTCTTACTGCCAAGGGTAAACGCAATGGTCCTGTCACATACATGGAAAGACCGATACATAAGTTGATACTGATTAAAGAGACCGAGGAAATCCCTGTCGAGGAGCCTAAGGTACAGTAATATCAGGGTTTTAGCGTGTTGTAGGGTTACAGTGTCACTGTATTTTTAAGGATTGTGTTTTTTACCTGTTTTTGACCATATTTTTGGATAAGTTCACTTTTCATATTAGAATGTATTGATTTTTTCTAAAGATACATTTTTGAAGAATATATTGAGCTTTCTAATTCATCAGAAATGACCATATTTTCATGTTTTCTCATATATATTGTAATGCTATTTTAAGTAATTGTTTCTAAGTCAGGTTAAACATTGAATTTTGTATTGTAAATGACATGTTTTGAACAATTGAAATATGTGATGTATAATGTTACTATCATGATTAACTATTTGCTGTATATTTTGTCAAATTAGTAGTACTAATTTGGGGGAGCCATGTGGCTGCGGCAAGACGACAACGATATTGAGTCGTACAAGTTTTATGCGGGTTGCGTCCCTTGCTGATCTGTACGCCATTTGTAGCACATTGCGAATGTCCGTGTAAAAAAGGACAAATAATTTTGCGTTTATTGCGTATCATTGCAAGCCCAAAGAGTTTGACGGAACATTTAGGAACATTTAGGAATAATCAACCAGTATATGAGAATAAAATATATACAATTACAAAACTTTCTCAGTTGGTCCATCTCAGTTCCAGTACTTCTCTTGGGCTGCTACTACATTGAGGGTAAGACTATTTTTCATTTTAAAGAAAAGAATCAGTTTATGTTTGCAAAGCCTTTTTTTCCAAGGATTCCCACCCAACTTCTTTCATGAGTTTATCAATAGACACAAGTTTAAAGTTTAGTTGTTCCGGTAATTACAGTGGACTCGCCCTTTCCGAACCAATCTTTATACTTGTGTTGTATTACGCCGATAAATATCTATTTAAACTAAAAAGAATATCTTAAAATATAGATAAATATGTCACGATTAAAATAGCGCAAAAAGAAATTGCCTTTAAATTGGATTTAATACCGGAATTTCCAAAATAAATTAGACTGGTACCTTGCCTAATCCGGGTCATACTCGCCTTTTCCGAATCACCGCAAAATTAACGAAATGGTCGGAAATCATTTTTCTTAATTCAGTTCATAGTGACATAAAATAGTGAGTTCAACCAACAAGTAATATTAAATCGTGATATATTCTAATAACATTCAAGGTAGCCAGTTTAAAATACAGTTTATTTATATAGCATTCCTTTAAGTGCCTATCCTTTATCAAACCTTTCATTTATGAGCTGCGTGTTCATTTTTTACTAGAAGTGGCTTTGTCATTAACGCGTTAGCATAAAAGCGGACATGTCTGCTGCTGTCAAATGAAAACAATGTTTAGGAACGAATAATTATATTACATATAGATCTACAACTAGATCTATACGCTATTAACAAATTGTGAAAACTAAAATATGAATTTTGTTTTGAAAACTATCTAGAATGATAGAAAATGTTCTAAGAAAATAAATCCGAACACCAGTATCTTTAATTCAGCCATTAACGCTGTGCAGACGTTTAAAGAGTTGTTAAACTAATGTGATAACAAAATGAATATATGAAGCAAACAGAATCTTAAAGCAGGTACCTGCACCCTGTAGGGTACTTATATATATATGTCATGTGATAGTCTTGTGACAATCACTTCTTTGGCTAAACTAATAGGCCATGCCAGTTTTGTAGGGGAGTTGTGTTTTTTTCAGGATGGAAAACAGGCTTTTCTAATTGTTTCATTTCAGCCAAAACTTACAGAAATGTTAATTAAAGATTATTTCAGCCAAAACTTACAGAAATGTTAAATAAAGATTCAATTGACTGTGTACTTATATGTGAAGAATAAAGATTTATTTCTTTTTATACTAAAAGACTCAGGAATGCTTAGAGGTTTGAGAACTGGTTTGTCCATGATGTAAGTAAAACATAACACATGTATATAATATGTATTTATATATTAAGCATATGTCCATGACTTGTAAAATCATAAGTACTATAAAATCTGAACAACAACCATGGCGTCCCCTCTGGCATAAATGAAATATATTGTATCATTGCAGTCATATGAGCAGTCTGTGACCATGTGGTAGACCTAGAATGTCACTCTCCCTTGAGATTTTGGTAATCTTAGCGTCCTTGGCTTTCTTTGCTGGTGTGAAGTTAAAGTAATTTTTTTTAATTTTCTAACATTTCTGGCAGACACCTCAGCTGGACGTTGGCATTTTTTCTAGGTTTATCCATCTAAAAAAGATGTAGATATGTAAAATAGAATGTATAAAACGAATAATGAATTATTTTACATGTACACTGTACAATATTGTACCTGAAGGAAGGGAATTTCATAGTATTCTCTGGAAGGGATTACATGCCATTTTGTACAAATAATAGTGGCAAAAATTTTATGTAAAAATGTTTCATTTTTATTTTGCAAAAATCAAATACATTTCAATAGGATAATGTTTAAGAATCCCCTGCTTTTGGCAGGTTATAGGCAGGTAAAGTTAAGCAAGAGCTGTCAGACTAGACAGTGCTCTTGTTAATTAGATACAAGAGACAAAGGGTATATGAATGATAAAAACATCTGTATTATGAGTTAATAAAGTACTCAAATATATAATTTTTTGTTTGTTTGTTTCATTTTACGCCTTTTCCCATTAGTATTTTAGTCATATAGGCGGGTAGTTTCCTAACCTGCAAAGTTACACCAGTACTAGATTACCTTCCTCAGTGCTTAACTATCAAAGCATTTCCCGGGGATCGAGGTAATAAAGTCATAGACTCTTAACCCCTCGACCACTGAGGCGGTCCAAATATATAACACTTTTCATATAGTGTAAAATAAGTTCAAAATGGAAATACTTCTGAAAATACAAGAGCTACACATTTTAATTAAATCTCATTAAATATTATATGTAAGTGTTGATAAAACATATATTTTTGAAGTTTACATTAAATTCCCGAAGAAATAAAGAAGTCACAAAAAAGGAAGAAAACTTTACGTAAGGGCCTAGAAATCAATTAAATCCATGGAAATATAAGTATTGTTGAAATTTATCCTATCATACATATATCTAAACAATGTTTCTATCAAATAATCGTGGTCAGTGTCAATACTGATGGTCAAAATAATAAATACATGTATGTATGTATCTTCAAACACTTATTTCACGCAGCAGCAGAAGACTATTATCTTAACTACCCATTTCAATGGAATAAAAGAAAGTTATAGCAGGCTAAGTCATATTATCTTATAAATATTTATTTATTTCTAATTATAATCATTATCTATATTTTATACAAACAAAAATAAATATTGCTATATTTGGGTATATTTAGGTGTACGGTATTTGGGTATTTCGTGCCGCCGAAAAAGGTGATTCGGAATACACAAAAAACATGATGTCAGTAATACAGCCTTTTACGTTTAAATTTTAAAATTATTTGTATTGTGATTATTATGGCTTGAAAGCACATAAAATTTGCTTTTTATCAATGTTCATTTCGTTTCGTTTCGGGAATTAACTAAAATGCAAGCGCCTTTTCATTTTGAAAATTTTATTTTCATTCGACAGATTACGCATATGGGAAAAATATGACACTTTAACAAACTAAAAATACAGATAATGTAAGAATACTTTTTATGCTTTACTAACGTTGAATTGATTGTATAGTGCTTCGATTATAAACCTAAAACATAACTTACGATTTTTGTGGCCGTCTGCACGCTCGCGACCTAAAAAGCTTGGAAATGATCCTCATTTTTGACTGGTTCGGAATGGGCGAGTTCACTGTATTCTAGCTGCTTCTTGGTGAATTTGTTCGAGCTCTTTTTTATCATTTTGATCGCAATTGTCAAATAATACATCTCCATATTCTATAATTGGGCTAATAAATGATAGGTATATGATTTGTAGTGAGTTCCTGTCGAGTTGAAATTTTAGTTTTTTCATGACATTTATTCTTTTCCAAGCTTTATTTTTAATGTATTCAATATGTGTTGACCAACGTAAATCATGAGTTTAAGTTATACCTAAGTGTTTAATTGTGATTACGTACTTCTTTTATCTGTGTGTTTTGCATAATAATAGGAGGATGATTTATAAGTCTGTTTGTTTAAGCGATGTTAATAATGATTCTGTTTTTAGGAGACTGAATTTTACCAACCACCTTTCAGCCCAAGAAGTTATCTTTTGCAAATCTGTGTTTAGGATAGTGGAAGCAGTGATAGGGTCTTCTACAACAATAAAGAGATTTGTATCGTCAGCGAAAAGTCTTATATTTGCATTAATATTGATAACAATATAATTAATATAAACAAGAAACAACAGTGGCCCAAGAATAGACCCTTGCGGCACACCAGCGTTTATATAACTAAAAGATGATTTACAACCGGGGAGAACGATTCTCTGTCTTCTGTATGAGATAAGAAGAAAACCAAGAAGAAAGACGACCAGATATGCCGATCGAATTTAATTTGAAAATAAGTCCTTTGTGCCAGACTCGATCAAACGCTTTACTTATATCACAAAAGACAGTTCTGACCTCTTTACCAGAATCTATCGCCTGTGCAAAAATATTATATAAATATGTTAATTGGTTGACAGTGGAGTCTTCGGGAACAAAACCAGATTGAAGAGATGTGATAATGTTGTTATATCTCAGAAAATTAAACGTGTGTTTAAATATAATTCTTTCAAAGAAAGACAGTACTAATTAGGGATATGGGTCTGTAGTTATTAACTAAAGAAGGGTCACCCGATTTAAAGAGAGGAGAAACATTAGCTTCTTTCCATGCATCTGGAACTTGAGCAATCTGAGTAGAATAGTTAAAAAGAAATTCAACATATGACAGAAGGTTCAAATAAATGAAAGCAAAGAGTAAACTATCAAAATGATTTATTAAGAATGAACATGCAGAAAAACGGAATAAAAGTATATTAATCATTTTAATTAGAGTAACATAGTAAGTAAATGTGAATATTTAAATAAAACGTCAAATCAAGAACATCAACATTATTGATTTTATATATATAACTTAAATAGAGAAATAAAGAATCCCTAAAGAAAGCTCAACACGACAAAATTGAAAATGTTGCAGGCTCGGTTTGATTGAGCCAGTTCATGGACGGTAATGAAAAGTGCAAGTTACCGTCCACGCCCCCTAGCTAGCACCTGCTTAAGCAAAATTCAATATTTAACACGAAAATGGTGAAATTTTGAATTTAGAAACATCCGCTGATGTGTTCATACGGCGGTTATCATAGAACCTTCAATGTGACACAGTAGTGCCATTCCATTAAAACTGTTTCGCACTGATCCAGAGGAAATTTCATCACCATCTTTTCTGATTACTTATGAGGAAAATTTGTTGCAACGATTTGGACATGTATATGACACACGTTTGCCAAATATATAACTATTTCAAAGGATCTTCACGTGATGTTGAAAAATATCTTTAATAGAGGACACTATTTATTTCATAATAATAATAATAATAATAATAATAATAAAAATAATAATAATAATAATAATAACAACAACAACAATTTGTAACAGAGTTACCAACATCCCTCGCCTCAGGGAATGTCTATATGATGCATAAAATGTGCTTTTTCAAAAGATTGAGGTATGGATCTCAGGACTTTCAGTCCAAAATTATGATCAATGCTAAATCTGCAAATGCAAAAATAAATTTCTTAAAGAAAGAACATGAAACACGGAATTTAAAAAAATCTATCATGTTAAGCTTTGACTTCTAAGTGTGACCTTGACCTTGGAGGTAAGAGTGCAGGTGTTGTGCATGACATATCGTCTTATTATTGTAACTATTTGTGCCAAGTATTTTCAAAATCCCTTGAACTATGAAGCAGTTATTATATATCAGACACAAACTATACCCTATAACAGACTATGTTAATCTTTGACCTCTAAGTGTGACCTTGGAGGTAGGGACCCATGTTTTGCGCCTGGCGTATAGTCTTATTATTGTGATTGCCAAGTATTTTTGAAATCCCTTGATCTATGAAAAAGTTAATAGTTATAGACGGGACACAAAATATACCATTTAACAGACTCTGTTAATTTTTGACCTATAAGTGTGACCTTGACCTCGGAGGTAGGCGTGCATGTGTTTTACTTGACATATTGTCTTATTATTGTGACTATTTGTGCCAGGTTATTTCAAAATCCCTTGAACTATGAAAAAGTTCTAGATCAGACACAATGATGGCCCTAGATCGCTCACCTGACCCATCGAACTCATCCGAACAATTACCTAGACAAGCATTCTGACCAAGTTTCATGACAGGTGAGTCAAAAATGTGACCACTAGAGTGCTAAGAAGGATAATCCATATTTGAGCAGTGTGACCTAGTTTTTTACCCAGGTCACCCATATTCGAACTTGACCTACAAATTATCAAAACAAACTTTCAGACCAATTGCCAGGATACTTGGATCAAAACAGTAACAACTAGAGTGTTAACAAGATTTTTCTATTTTTAGCTCCTGTGACTTAGTTTTTGTTGCAAAATGACCCATGTTCGAACTCATTCGAGCGATTACCTAGACAAGCATTCTGACCAAGTTTGATGATAATTGAGTCAAAGATGTGACCACTAGAATGTTAACAAGGTTTTTCCATATTTGGGCAGTGTGACCTAGTTTTTCATTGGAGATGACCCATGTTCGAACTCATCCGAGCAAAGAATTAGACAAGCATCCTGATTAAGTTTGATGGTGATTGAGTCAAAAATGTGACCACTAGAATGTTAACAAGGTTTTTCCATATTTGGGCAGTGTGACCTAGTTTTTGACCCAAGGTGGCCCATATTCGAACTTGACCTAGAAATCATCAAAACAAACGTTCAGACCAATTTACAGGATATTTGGATCAAAACAGTAGCAACTAGAGTGTTTACAAGATTTTTATATTTTTAGCTCCGGTGACCTAGATTTTCATCAGAGATGACCCATGTTAGAACTCATTCGAGCAATTACCTAGACAAGCATCCTGACCAAGTTTGATGATGATTGGTAAAAAAATGTGACCGCTAGAGTGTTAACAAGGTTTTTCTATTTTTAGCTCCTATGAACTAGTTTTTCATCCGAGATGACCCATGTTCGAACTCATCCGAGCTATCACCTAGACAAGCATCCTGACAAAGTTTAATGATGATTGAGGTAAAAATGTGACAGATTATTCTATTTATAACTTCTGTGACCTAGTTTTTTATCTGAGATGACCCATGTTCGAACTCATTTCAGCTATCACCTAGACAAGCATCCTGACCAAGTTTGATGATGATTGAGGCAAAAATGTGACCGTTAGAGTTAAAAAAGTTTTTTTCTATTTTTAGCTCCGGTGACCTAGTCTTTCATCCGAGATAATCCATGTTCGAACTCATCCGAGCTATAAACTAGATAACCATCCTGACCAAGTTTAATGATGATTGAGGCAAAAATGTGACCACTAGAGTGTTAGCAAGGTTTTTCTATTTTTAGCTCCTGTGAACTAGTTTTTCATCCGAGATGACCCATGTTCGAACTCATCCGAGCTATCACCGACAAAGTTTAATGATGATTGAGGTAAAACATGTGACAGGTTATTCTATTTATAACTTCTGTGACCTAGTATTTCATCTGAGATGACCCATGTTCGAACTCATTTCAGCTATCACCTAGACAAGCATCCTGACCAAGTTTTCTTGCATATCAGACTGGCGTTTCCACGAGTTTTACCCATGCCGGAAATTTCATCTGGCATGGGGGGTGCCAGATGAGTCGCGTGCTGTACAATGGCACGCTTAGGATGACGTCATTTTACCGTTATGAATGAAGTTGTCATTCATACGCTGTTGTAAGAAAGTAGTTACGGTTGTAATGATATAAATTTCCATTCAAATTAAAGATAAAGAATTTAAAATATAATGGAATATGGTAGAATATGCAAGAAAAAATATCTGACATATGTTTGCGGTTCGGATCGGAATATCCGTCCCTTGGTGACCCGCCCATGGGCGGTAACTCGGCAAGCCTCGTTACCGCCCAATGGGGGGTCACCTCGGGACGGATATTCCGATCCGAACCGCAAAATATGACAGATATTATTATGATGATGATTGAGGCAAAAATGTGACCGTTAGAGTTAAAAAAGTTTTTTTCTATTTTTAGCTCCGGTGACCTAGTCTTTCATCCGAGATAATCCATGTTCGAACTCATCCGAGCTATAAACTAGATAACCATCCTGACCAAGTTTAATGATGATTGAGGCAAAAATGTGACCACTAGAGTGTTAACAAGGTTTTTCTATTTTTAGCTCCGGTGACCTAGTTTTTAATCCGAGTTGACCCATGTTCGAACTCATCCGAGCTGTCAACTAGATAAGCATCCTGACAAAGTTTGATGATGACCGCTAGAGTGTTAACGAACAAATGTGGACGGACGACGGACGACAGACAACGGACATTCAACGATCCTAAAGCTCACCCTGAGCTAGCTCAGGTGAGCTAAAATGTTATGGACCAGACACAAAATATACCCTATAACAGACTATGTTAATCTTTGACCTCCAAGTGACCTTGACCTTGGAGGTAGGTGACCGTCTGTTGCACATGACACATGACACATCGTCTCATTATTGTGAACAATTGTGGCAAGTCTTTACAAAATCCCTTGAAAAATAAGTAAGTTATGAACCGGACACGACATATACCCTCAAATAGACAATGTTGACCTTGAATGAGCAAGTGCGACCTTGACCCTTGAGGTAGGGGCCTCATTGTTACGCATGACACATCGTCTT